GGGGACGTGTGTCCCTTGTCTGGTGTCAGCCAGGGGAGGAGGGGACAGCGCGGCACCCGGGGGGCTCTGCTTCAGGGTCGTGCTGAGCAGCTTCACAATCTTAGTGCGGGGAAGTCTGGGCTTGGGCTATTCTACCCGTGGGTCTAGCTGCCATGCCAGGGCTGCGCGGGCTCATCCCTGGTTAGCAAGGGCTTTTCGGGGGGCTGGGGTTGGCTGGGGGACAGTGCTGGTGGTGCTGGGCTGAGCGTTGCCCCAGCACCAGCCCGTCCCGTGGTCCCCACTGCCTTCACCTCCAGCGTTCCCTTTGCAAATGCATGTACAGCTTTCCAGGCTCAGGTGTACGCTGGTGAGATGCTCTCCAACCTGGAGATGGGACAGGCGGTGTGCAGGGGTGCTCTGAAGGAGCCTCGTATGCAGAGCAACCTCAAGTCGTCCTCTCCTGCTCAACTGGAAAATCTAAAGAGCTGCCTCTCCAAGACCTTGCTTAACCACAAGAGAGGTCCTGGGGCCAAGAGGGTGTTTGTCCCCACGGCTGAGGTGTGGGGCTGTGAATGGAGTTGCTGGACCCAGTGCTCCTGTTCGTGCTGTTGGGACACCAGTTATCCTGCTGTAATGAACCACTTGGCTCATTCCCACGTTTAGCCAAACCTTTTTTTCCCTTCCCAAAGGAGATGTGTCCCCTCCCTGGGCATTCCTCCAAGCTTGCACCAACCCAGGTCAGCAGCGGGAGATGTGTTTCTGGTGGAAGATGTGAATCAGCACCCCATAGCCATGGCTGTGGTTACATGTGTGCAAAGTCTCTGCCAAAAACAAACTTCTTAAACCTGTCCTCTGGTAGTGCTGCTGGCTGGGCAAAGCCAGACCGTCCTGTGGCTTAAGCAGTAAAAGTCAAACGTTGTCCAGTTTCATGGACATTGGGAGCTGGTACCTGCAACGAAAAGGCTGGATGGCCCCTGCAGAACTGGAGGGATGTTTTTAGTGCAAAAACCTTTCTGCCCTCTTCTTTTTAGCCAATTCTGATTCTTTCTACCCAATTAGCTAATTCCTAATAACTTGCAGTAAGAAGAGAAGGTGAGGAAAAGACCAACCCTTGTTTCTCTTCCAGTCTCCCTTCATCTCAAGCCCTTGGTCTGCACATCTTCAGCATGACCCAACTGGTCCTGAGCTCTTATGAGGCTTAATGTGAAATGGAAAAAAAAAAAAAAATGACTGAGTGCTGGTGTCTAGGATGGTGAGAAATGTCCAGGGACTTACATAAACTCCTGGGTTGGGCTTCAGAGCGGTGGGTAAGAGGAAGGGCTGGTGGCAGGGGTTGGGCAGGTGAAGGCTCGCTCATCAGTCCTGGCTTCCTGAGATCTCTATGGACGGTCAGGATGGTGTGTCCTGAGGGAAGAACACCTACTTGCAAAAAAAGGTGGTGGTTTTGGGGATACCCTTGAGTAAAGTCTGTAGGAGAAGGCACAGTAGAAATAGGGAACTCGGAGCCCAGCTCCTGCCCTATTTGCAGAAACTGAATCTGTGTCAGTGGCTGTCCTGGCAGCTGGGCTGCCTGCGGCACTGGCCCTGCAGAACCTGGGGACGTTGGTTTTTTGTGAGTACCTGGACTGCCTGACCTGCCTAAGGTTGGAGCTTTAACTCAGTGATGCTGCATCGGCTCATCCATCTGCCACTTACCGTTTCTTCTCCGCTTGGGTCTCTTGCGGATGAGCTCTGGCACGGAGGCTGTGCTCACACACAGCGTGGCTGCTCCTCTCAGTCTGGAGAGGAAACCTCAGCTCTCGGCTTTACGGAGCAGGGTGGCTGAAGCCTCTCTCCTGGAGAAGCAGGGTTTGGGCACTGGTGATGGAGCCGCTGTTCACCTGGTCCTGTCTGGAGATGAGCAATAGCCGGTTCCTTTCTGGTCCTCAGGAACAGAGATCAGTGTGATCAGGAGGGGTCAAACCTCTCAGTGACACTTTGCAACCGATCTCAGTGAAAAATATTCTATTTTTATTTCAGACATATGACTGTGGTTTGACCTACAGCTTAATTCTAAGGCTCCCCTGTTAAGTCGATCTTGCTTAGCAGCATCTGTGGAGCACCCTGAGCTGCCGTGCCCAGACGGAAGAGGACTGAGAAAGGCAGCAGGGAGCTGGGATGCAGCTCCGTCTGACTGCGCACATATTATATGAATAAATGCATACGCAATAAGGGACCCGGGGAGTGCAGGTCAGAATGAGCAAGTAAAAGAAAGCAGATGTTGCAGTTCAGACTCTATTGGACACTCAGGAGTCGGGATTAGAAACTGGGCTAAATAAAATCTTGTCCTCTGACTGCTTCTTTGCCATGAAATCCTTGAGGCTGGCAGGATGGAGGCTCCTGGGCAGCAGCAGGGTGTTGGGAGGCGGGAAGGGTTTGCTGGGTGGGTTATGGAGACATCTGCTTGGGGATGGGGCTTGAAGGAACTGGGCTTCAGCGAAGGGTTGTGGGGCTTGTGGGTGGCACAGCCTCACCATGAAATGGGTAAAGAAAGATGGGGTATTGCAGGGAAGCTTCTGGCAGCTTTTCTTCTCAGCCCCCTGTGGCAGCAAATAGGTGCACAGGCAGATGGAGCTGCTCCAAGGCAGGAGAGCCCTTGGGGGGCTCGGCAGCGGGTAGTGCCCACGTGCCCTCGCTGATCAGCGGATCAGACCCGCTTCTGTAATCCCGCTGAGTTACTTAACCATGACTAGGGCTTGTGCTTGCAGAGGAAGTAAGATTATGGTGGAACACACCCAAATTAGGTGCTCAAGAAGGAACAGGCTCTTGTCTGTCCATAAGGCAGCCCCCGGGAGGCAGGGAGCGGAGACAGATGTGCCCAGATGCCAGCTCCTGGCCCGGGGAGTTGGTGAGGGCTTGAGTCACATCTGGGCTCCCGCAGGCATTTCCCAGCAAACGGGACAGCGATATGGAAACCACAGCTGTGCATTGCCTTTGACCTGCTCCATGGCCAACTGCGAGTCACCGCGGGACAGAGGAGGCAAAGGTGTCCTGCACAGCTGTCGGGACGCAGCTGGGTCGCCATCCCACTTCTCTGTTTTTTGGGAATCCTGTGGACCCTGGTACACAAGCAGTTGTGCCGATGGGTGTGCTGCCTCTCCCAGCCCTTGCCCGATTTTGGCTGCGTGGAGCTTCCAAACCTGGCAGAGGAGCGGAGCCTTTGGGACTTTGGGATGGGGTTGTTCGTGCCAAGCAAGTCAAACATGCAGAGCTGTGAATAATTCAGTGCTAGTTTGTCTGGCACAAAGTGAGCCTCCAGCAAATCAAAACAGCACCGAAATCCTGCGGGTAGGATCTGGAAAGTTGAGCCTGAATAAATAAGCCTACAGACGTCCTATGGCATGAACCTGGTCCTTCTGTATACATAAGAGTTCCCAATTTAGATCTGGCTCGGTTTCAGTCTGCACAGCATGCCTGGATCCTCTGGAGAGCCCCTGCCAGAGCTGCTGCCTTCAGCTGGGCTTGATGCAGAGCCGAGGGTGGATGTGCTCAGCTGCAGCCACCAAGCCCAAGAGTTGTCTCCTTACTCTTTTTTTTTTTTCTTTTTTTTTTCTTTTTTCCCCCCTTGCAGAATGTCAGGATTGACCCCAGGAGCATTGCCTTCACCATGTGGAAAGACGTTCCCGTTCCTTTCTACCTGTCGGCGCACTTCTTCGAGGTGCTGAACCCCGAGGCGGTCCTGCGGGGAGCGAAGCCGGTGCTGAACGAGCGGGGACCCTACGTGTACAGGTCAGGTACCGCTTGTGGGCCAGCTAGGTGTCAGCCTGGCCACCGCGCTGCCTGCCTGGCTTCTGGCTGACTCCTCCGGCAGGAGGATGTGGCATTAGCACACTTGGCGTGAGTCCAGTGGCGTGGGATTTTGAGGCGACCCGAATGTGTTCTAATTGCTCTGATCTTGCTTACAGCCACCAGTTGGACTGCTGGCCGCCGGGGTGGTGGGGCTGGTCTGTGCTTCATGGACTTGTGGAGCTCAGTCCCATGTTGGGATGTGTTGGGCAGCCAGACTTGGACTGATATGGTCCAAATGAAGGCAGTGAGGGGTGTTGGTATGGTGATGGGCAGCCCTTATCTTCAATGTGGGCTTGTTTCATCTTCATTCTGCATTGAAGAGTCCAGCTCCAGAGCTGGAGTCAGTTCAACATCAAGCTTTATGGATTGGCATGAGACCTCTTGTCTAACATGAGGCCCAGAATCTCCCTAACATGAATGCTTTGGTCATGAGAACCAGTATGGAGCACTCAGACCCGCTCAGTCCCACCTGCAGCAGGGCTGGGTCTGTTTGCCGTGGATGAGGATGGTGGGTGAAGCCCCAGGTGCTTCTCTGGACCTGAAATGTGAAGTGATGGTTGATGTTGAGTTGAGCGTGTGAACTTGCCCGCAGATAGCGATATCCAACACATCAGTGCCTACACATGTAGGCGGAGTTAGGTCAGCAGGCTAAGCAGGCTCATGTGGGAAGATTATTGGTTTAATCTAAAGCTGGTTGAGTGGCGCTGGGGGTACCTGGCAGTATATATGTGCCCTCATTTCCCCTAGGCTGGCGAGATTAACGCCGTGTGGATTCTGTATGTTGTGATCCCGTCAGTCGCTTGGCTTGGGGAAAACGCTTCACTTACCATAAATAAGAATAAACAAAGGGGCAAAGCTTATTAGTGTCCTTGTGTTCCCGCTGAGCAAGATTAGTGCCCTTCCCTGATGTGAGCCATAAAACACAGGCTCCACAATAAAGGACTTTGTTTTTGCTGGTGGGGTTGAGCTTCAGCTTTCTCAGGAGCTGGAACAGGCTTGGGGACAACCTTGTGCTGCTGTGGAGCATTGCAACCCCTATGAGATGGGCTGTCCCCATGGCGTGGAGCGGCGTGGTGCTGGCGGTGTGCTGGAGATGGCATGGCCCAGAGCCCCGAGGAGCGGGAGATCTGTGGTGCTGCCCTGGACCTGGGAGCCATCAGGGAGCTATGGGGCAATCCGTGTGGGTTCATGGATTGGGCTTGTGCCATCTTGTTTGGTCCTCTCCTGTTCTGCAGGTTGTTTTGGTGTGTGGGTTGGTGTCGGTCTGCTTATCTGGGTGTCTCTCTGATGGGGCTGGGCTTTTCATCAGCTGTAGGTGAAGTGACAGAGGGCATTTATGGTTTTGGCTTGGAAGAAACACTTGATGTCTGCAAGTTGCTGCAGAATCCTGTCTGCCAGGGGTGCCTCACTCCCTGGCTACCATCTCCTCCTGCTAGACCCTAACCCAGGTCTCGACGCTGCCTGCTCTGCTGTCACCTGGCTTCTTGCTGGGGTTGGATCTCCTTCCTCTGCTCTTCAGAAGCAAGCCCAGCCCTGGGCAGGCCATCCCTGCTCCACACACATTGCATGGTCACTTCACAGGAGAAGGATCCAATGCTCTCTCCCGTCTCTTTGCAGGGAGTACAGGTATAAAACAAATATCACATTCCATGACAATGACACCGTCTCCTTCCTGGAGTACCGAAGACTCTACTTTCAGCCGGACTTGTCCAACGGCAGCGAAAGTGACTACGTTGTTGTGCCAAACATCATGATGATGGTAAGAACTTGCTCCTTGGATGAATACCACCAACTTGGGAGCTTGCGGGGAGGGTGGTGATGCCCAGTGCTGACTCAGCTTGCTTTCTTGGAGGGCTTAAGGCTAATTGAGCCGTGAGATGGTTAAACTTATAAAACACAATGTTCTGCCTTCTGGGTGTTGGTTGCTGTGTTGGGCTGTTGCCCTTCCAAAAGCAGAGTGTGCAGATGGGCTGGCAACGCAACCTCCTCCGAGTGTCCTCGGGGGAAATGAAGCCAGGGAGCCCTCAGCTGCTTTCTTCCCAAGCTGAGGGTGAAGGGTGAATGGTGAACCTCTATCCAAAGGGTTTCTCCAGGGCTGTAGGGGGGTGCAGCAGGAGGACCTCGCTGAGCACCAAAGATGCCTTGCTTCCTCCTTGGTGAAGATGGAGCTCTCATCTCAGAGGTTTGTTTTCTTTCCCAGGCAGCATCTGTAATGATGGAAAACCTGCCAAACTTTGTGAAGCTTTTACTGAGCGGAGCCCTGGCTGGCCTGAAGCAGGAGGCGTTCATGAACCGGACGGTGGGGGAGATCATGTGGGGGTATGAAGACCCTCTTATAGACACAATAAATACGATTGTTCCTGGCCTGATCCCTTTCAAGGGGAAGTTTGGCATATTTGTAGAGGTGAGTAAACTGTTGCTTGGGAACACTAAAATGACAGCAATATTGGTCTTGGGACCGAGCGTCTGGGCTATCCTCCTCGCAGGCTGTTTGGAGCAGCCGTGTGTGGCTGGTGGTGGCTGTGAAGGCTGCCTTAGTTCTCTCCTCAAGCAGAAATCCATGTGTTGGAAGCTGTCGCTGGCAACTGAAATAAGTAAAAGTTCAGCAGCTTCCAGTGGGAAGCACTCCTAGAGCTGAAGAAGCATGCAGAGTCCTTGACATTTTGCAGCCCTGCTGCGTATAATGGATTAAAAGTGAGTTTCTTCTCTCTGCAGTTCAACAACTCCCATTCGGGGCTGTTCACCGTGAACACGGGCATGAAGAACATCAGCAGAGTTCACGTCGTGGATACATGGAACGGACTAAAGAAGGTGAGTGTTGGGCCGGGAACCTCTCACACAGGGGTGGTGCCTGATCTAGAGCAAGATAACCTGAAAGCTCCCAGTGCTGTGGTATCTCTGGGTCAGAGGTTTGAAGGCAGGTTTCTGCGGGACTTTACCGCTGCAACTTCTGTTCTATCAAATTGCCAGAAGGCAGCTGTACGGCAGGAGGCTTGTCATGAGTGTCGGCAGGAGGCTTGTCATGAGTGTCGCTTGGACTCCATTGAAATGCTGATGGAGCTGGTTGCTTCTAGGAGTTGAAGTCCCTGGCTCTTGTGGCCTGTGTTTAAGGTGTTATTTAAATGTCCTTGCTAAAGGGGTGCTTATTTTTCCTTGTGGAATTCCACTCCTAACTCAAATGAACCGAATCTACAGATCGGCCACTGTGGGAGCACTTGGGATGGGGGATCTTGTCCTGTTCCTCCATTCATTGAACAGATGTTTGAATGGAAAAGATCTTGGAAGATCTTCAATGTTGGTATCTTTTTAAGCTGAGAGTGGACTGAGATGAGATATTAGGAAGAAATGTTTCCCTGTGCGGGGGGTGAGGCAGTGGCCCAGGTCGCCCAGAGAAGCTGTGGATGCCCCATCCCTGGAGGGGTTCAAGGCCAGGCTGGGCTAGTGGGAGGTGTCCCTGCCCATGGCAGGGGGGGGAACGAGATGAGCTTTAAGGTCCCTCCCAACCCAAACCATTCTGTGACTCTATCTCAAGCTCCATGGCAGCAGAGCAGGGTGGTGGCTGTCCCGTGCAGGGGTGGGAGCCAACTCTCCAGCGAGCTTGTCGTCCTGAGCTCTTCTCTCTCTCTCCATCTCCCAGGTGAACTACTGGCGGAGCACCGAGTGCAACATGATCAACGGGACCGCGGGGGAGATGTGGCCACCATTCATGTCCCCGACATCGCTGGAGTTCTACAGCCCTGACGCCTGCAGGTGAGGCCACAGCTTGTCCCTGGGTGGGTGGCAGGAGATGCAGCGCACATCCTGTGCCCGCAGAGTCCCTGTGCTGTGACACAGAGGCTCAGGGCTGGTTTCTGCAGCTGAAGTTCAGCTGTGGTTCAGTGTCGCAGTATCTGAGCTTTGCGAACAGTGTCATTGTCTAATTAGCAGCGTCTTGTGGTGTTCGTAAATACCTTCCAGATCGCTGGAGAAATCTGATGTGCTGATATTGAATCTGTGGAAAATAACCAGGCGAGATAAGATGTGGGAGGCGAGAGGAAGAAGTAAGAGTTGTCATAAGGAAATGCAACTATAACCATTTGTGGAACTATTTCAGCTGACTAAACGCTTGCAGAAGGGATGTTGGCAGGGAGAGCTTCTGCCACCATTTCCAGGCTGTGGCTTTTTTTTTTTTTTTTTGCCTAGTTCATGCACTGCTGGACCTGTTTGTCCTGTGTAAGACACCCTGCCCTTAGCTGATCCCACAGGGGTTAAAGTACCCTGCAGAGCCTGCCTGGGGCTGGAAGGAGGGCAGGGGTGGCACAAAACCCTGTCCCCAGCTTGGAAGATAATGTTAATTCAGGCTTTGTAGATAGTGCTGCAAAACAAGCAAGTGCTCTGTTGGATAGAGAACAATGACCTCTCCAGCTGAACAAGCAGAGTCAGCTGAGCCCAGTATTAGTGCAGTAATGCCTCTACACAAGGGCCATCAGCAAACACCAAAAGAAGCCAAGGACTTACAGGGAAGTTTACCAGTAATCAAAGTTTAAACATACATACCTGTTTCTGTAAAACTACAGAAATGTGCTGGGAACAGAGCATGTTTCCAGAGAAGGCATAATGTGAAGTGGAGGAAACCAAGCTTGGTTTCTCGTAGCGCAGGCGGTTCTGGTGTGACAGTGCTGTGGGGGAAGTGGCTGTGCCTCTTCACCAGGCAGTGCTGTTTCTTCTCCCCTGATCTCTATCTCAGCCTCTCTGCTAGCCCAGCTGGCTAGAAAGCAGTGACAAACCTCAGCTGATAGACTAAGGGCATGTCTGCCTTGCTGCAGGGCAGGGAATGGCATGGGATGGCTCATCTCCTGTGCTGTTTGCACAGAAAGTGCAGCTGATGCTGATGTCCCTACATGGATGTCCCTGCAAGGCAGGAAAGGCTTTGTCTGGCTGGTGTGCTGCAGCAGCCTCTGCCTTCTAGCTGGAAGGTGAGTGCAGCTGAGAAGCATGCAGGTAGCTGCTGAACATGCCCTGAATCCCCCATCCCTGGTGCTGGTCTCAGAAGGCAGCTGTGTGAATAAGCATCCCCCTTGGCTCGCCCAGGCTGTCTGCATCCCTGCAAGCCTCACTCGAAGGACCACACGTGAAGGAAGCAAACTTCCCTCCTGTAAACTTGCATCTGTCCTGGCCAGCTGGTAGCAATAATGCAGAATAACATCCCTAGCCTTTTGTGTATATAAAAAAAAATAATCTTGCTGCATAATGTTGTTCATAAGGTAAAATATTCCACTGTCCTGGCAGCCTGTATGCTGGAGTTGTGCTGCAAAAGAGGTTTAGCTGGTGTCCACCCTCGGTAACAGAGCCCTGCCACCTCGGAGCCAAGGCTTGCACAAAGAGGGGATTATCTCTTGGAGAGCAGCCCTGGGGATTACTGCGTGCCTTTAAACAAATCTCATCTGGGTGCTGCAAACAGATTTATAAGCCCGAGTTTTCTCTCTGTACCTAGTCCTGACCAGCCCTTTATTTGTGCTTAAAACATGAAAGCAAATGGCTTAAATGCTCATTCCCCATCCAAAGCACTGCTCCAACCATTTATCTTGATCTCAAAGTCTAAGTTACATTGCAACCGCATCTTATCCAGCAAAGATAAGAGCCTGCTTGTGAGGTGAGAACCTGTTGGCTAATCCTGATCCTTCTCCACTGAAACCCTTCCAGATCCATGACACTGGTGTACGAGCAGTCCGGGAAGTTCAAGGGTGTGCCCACCTATCGCTTCGTGGCACCAAAAACGCTCTTTGCCAATGGCACAGACTATCCACCCAACGAAGGCTTCTGCCCCTGCAGGCAGTCCGGCATCCAGAACGTCAGCACCTGTAGGCTGAGTAAGTCCTTTCCTCCTTGGGCTCTCCCTGCCGGACCAGTATGTAGGGATGTGACAGGACATCTGTAGGGATGTGACAGGAGCTTGGCTGGCTGGGAAATGGGCTCTGCTGTCTGCCAGAGTGCTGCGAGGTCCCGCCGGGGTCTGTGTGCACGGCATTCTTGTTTGCACGCCTGCAGGCATCTCAGCAAGGAGGGAAAGGGGGAAGAAATCCCTATGCCCAAAGCCTCCATGGTCTGCAGCCCTACGAAAGCCTGGTATTTTGGGAATGCCCAGGCATGCGGTGGGAGTGTTGTGTCCCCTGGGCTGGGGAGGTGGCAGGCAGGGGAGCAGGGGTGGGAAGAGGCAGGGCACATAACTTCCTCATTACGTGTTAACTTTGGACACGGAGTGCAGGTCACGCAGGAGGGAGAATTCAGAGTTAGTGTCCTAACCCGTGTCTGGGTACGGTGAGTTACTGTGGCATTGCGTGCAGGAGAGGGGGGCTCAAACACGGGGTCTTGACCCTCCCACAGCAATGGAACAAGCTGCAGGGAGGGAAGGGAAGGAGCTTGGGAGGAGAAAAGTATAAAATGCATAATAAGTATGTTCTCATCCAGATGCACCGATGTTCATTTCCCATCCTCACTTCTACAACGGTGATCCGTCCCTGGTGAACGCCGTCGAGGGCCTCCACCCCAGCAAGGAGCAGCACGCGCTCTTCCTCGACATCCACCCGGTGAGTCTGCCCGGGGGGTATCACCCCGTGGAGGGGTCTCTTCTCACCCCGGGGGTCCTGCCTGGGCTGGGTGGGGGACCCTGCCACCGGCTGCGCGGTGGCCTCACTTTGCTCTCATGACACTGATTTGAGGAGGTTCCAGAGTGCAAAGACTGGCAAGGACATGTGCAGATAAAAAATGTCAAAGCCATAAAGTAATTAAATAATTAGCCTGGCTTCTAGAGAATTGCAGAACTAATTATAAGCATAATTGTTTCGATAAGCACAGCTGAGTTCTTCCCAGACTTGGGTCCATGACACCAGGAGGTGTATCTAGCAGCAGCCCAGTTACTCCCCAAATCTGCAAAGACGTCCTGCCATGGCTGGCGAAGCCTGACTGCGCTGCAGCTGAAGCATCGCCACAATTTTTGGGCTGGCTGCTTCTACTCTCTCAACTTGTCTCTCTGGCTGTTTCTGCACTGGACTGTCGCAGCGTTATGTTTTCAGCGTATCTTTAGCTAAGGGTGCAGTCACCACCGTGGTGATGAGCTGGGGTGTCCTGAGCCATCCTTGTCCCAGCTGCTGGTGGGGAGGGGACTCTGGAGGTAAGGCGAGATGTGCTTCTTATCTAAGCATTGGGTTCTCTCTGCTTTTCTTATCGCAGTTACGGAAATCTAATTAAGTTTATTACAGTATCAAACATCTCCTGATAACAGGACCATTCCCTATATCCTTATCTAGCTGCAGCCTGCTGACTGCAAACAGGGGCAATCTAACAAAAACTCTCTGCCCTTAAAAATGTGTTGCAGAACTGCAGTGTCATGAGAAACCAATGCCTTAGTGCGTGTCAACAAGCCCAGCTTTGAAGTGTGGTGTTTTCATGGTCTTAGGGCATTGCTGGACAGCAGCTGTTGGTTCCTGGTTATGAGGAATGTTCTGTCCTTTGCTGTGCATGTGAATCTTTCGCATTGATGATGCATTTCCATCTTGCTGCTGGTAGGATGAATGACAGAAGAGGCTCATCAAGCTTCAAAAAATACTGAAGTTGCTATTAAACCACCCTGCCTAGGGAGTCACAGGTTGCATATGTTACTGGGTGATTTGAGCTTGTCTAGGTTGGGTCCCACAAGCCCAAGTCGCACAACACCTCCCTGGTTCGTGCTGTCTGCCCACTGGATGTGCCCCCACATCTGTCCAGGTTAGCTTCGTGCCTCCAGACTGCCCCACGGGATGTGCTCCCGTCTGAATGCTGCTGCGTGCAGCCATCTCGCTGGCTGGTGAGCATTCGAGTGAAGGGGACAGACTGCAAACTGCCGTTGGGACAGTGCTGTCTCTCTGTGAGCAGTCAGCCCCAGAGCCTGGGGACCGGTGCCTGGTTGACTGATGCTTGTGCATTGCTGGAAACTCCAGCCATGCTCCTGGTCTGGTGTGTGGTGGCTGCGGTGGATGTCAGGATGATCCAGTCCATCGCTCTGGAAGGTGGCACCCAGAGCAGCTGTGCTGGAAAGTGCGGGGCTGCTCTTGGGCAAAGCTCCCCAGACACTGTCTGTACTGATGAGCTGGTTGGTCTCTTCCTCTGCAGATGACGGGCATCCCCATGAATTGCTCCATCAAGCTCCAGCTGAATCTGTACATCAAGCAGGTCTCTGGTATAATGTAAGTAGTCACCTTGTAGAAACGGCCATCTCCTGTCCTCACGCTGGGGTCACTGCAAGATTTACTCTCCCCAAACGTGAAGTAGCTTTACCATTACCAGTTGTCCCAGTTCTAGAAGCCAGCTGGCTCATGTGGTGACATGTCAGCTATTCCAGTGACCTGGAGCTGCCATCCTTTAGCAGTGCAGCATGTGGCTGCCTGTCTGCTGGGCTCCTGCAGTGTTCCTGCAGCTGATGGAGTGGCCACTCGTCCTGCGGAGGCACAGGAGCCCATCGCCCGCCCTGTGCTGCTGCTCAGGGGGTGTTACACCCAACGTGGAGAGGCAAAGCACGCTCTGCCTGCAGGGCTGACCGCTGAAGCCTGTGTCCAAGGCTTTCAGCTCTATGAAAGCAAACAGAAGGGCTCTGTAACAAAGCTGTGTGGTGCCAGATGTTAAACACCCACAAGGGTGGGAGCGTGCACTTGCTGTTTGGCTCTGGTGCATCCACCAGCAGACAGCCCCGATGCTCTGAACCGGGCTGCAGCACCCTGTAGCGCAAGGGACTGAGACATCCTGGAGCTGCGTGAAGCTTTAGCATTACAGTTCACTGAGTTCGTGTACCTGGAGCCCAGATTTGGGCTGGCACTGTCTGCTGGTGTCAGAGTTAAGCACAAAGGGAAGCATGAGCTCTCCTCTTGCATGAAAAGCCCAAGCTGGACCTGGGAGCAGCTCATGGAAGCAGCTGGAATTACTGCTTCCTTACACTGGTTTCTGACTGCTGTCAGTCTGTGAGACCCGTCCTTTTAGGAAGAACTGTGACCCTGCTTGTGGCCTGATCAACCAGAAATCCAAGTGCCTATTTGTTTTTTTTCCCCCTAGGCAAACAGGGAAGATTACACCAGTGGTCCTGCCGCTGCTGTGGTTTGCTGAGGTGAGCTGCCTTCCCTGACCTGACTCTGCAGAGCATCTCCTGCGGGAGGGGGAAACTGCTTCCCCATCACCCGGGGCTGGGGAAGCTCTGCTTTGGGTAAAGCGTTAAGCCAGCCGGACTAATTAAGCACCAACAGAAGGCTTTGCAATACTTGGCAGTGTCGTTAATCCCTCTGAGCTGAACAAACCCTGCACTATACTCGGTAAACCTCTGGCTCTGTCCTGGCTGTGGGGTTCTGTAGGGCCTGGAGCAGAGCTGCCAGCATCCCTGTGCTAACGTGGGAGCGCAGTCCCCAGCTGTCTGCGGGACCGGCTGATTCCATCTCTTCAGTAAAAGCTTCTAGCTGAGTGAATCTTTCATCCATTCCCCAATCTGTGCTGGGAGAGGGGTTGTGCAGCTGCTCTGTCTCAGCCCTGGCTGGGAGGGAAATGCCACTGACAGCTTTGCTTTCTTTTTTTTGAGCAGAGTGGATACATTGAAGGCTCAGTCCTGAAGCAGTTTCACACCAACCTGGTGATGATCCCGTCCGTGCTGGAATACCTGCAGTACATCTTCCTCGGGCTGAGTGTCCCGTTCATTATCTCAGCAGCTGTACTCATGGCAACGAGTCAGGTAAGAACTTGCAGATGTTTGATGGGAAATGCCGTTAGTCAAATCAGACCTAATCAGATGATGTAGATTGGGCTGACAATCTAACACTCCTGAGGAAACATTGGCTGAGGCCACGAACCGTGTCCGGATGGTGCCAGGTGCCAGCACACAGCAGCAGGGCTTCCTCAGCCAGCCGGCAACTGGTCTGCGAAGAGATAACATAAAGCATTTCTGGCCATCTCTGTGCACAACAGATAGAAGCGGGTTCCTGTAGGAGGAGGCATTTCTCAGCTCATCCAGCTAATGAACAAGCCAGCCGAGCCAGCCAAGCCAGCCTCCGTGGAAAGCAGGGGCTGTGTGCCGTTGCACAAATCTCTGCAGGGTCCCAACAGTTTTCTAACCTGAGCAGAGCCTTCTCGAGAGGATGTAGCTACTTGAGCACAGCTTCTTCACCCATGAAATGCAGTCACCTGTGTTCTTGCAGGAGGGGCACAGACACTGTGGCTGCTTCTCAGCCCAGCCCCACTTTTTTTTTTTTTTAACTGAAATTCACTTGTTTCCCTGCGAACTACTCAAATAGCTCTGAAAGTTAAAGCCTGCAGGCTTTCGTGCATCTGGGCTTACTGAGAAGCCAAGACCTTTGAAGCCTGTGGGGAGCTGGCCCCCACTGGGCAGGACAGTGAGGGTGCCTGCCTGGCACACGACTCTGGTCTGGGCTGTACAGACAGAATATAAACCAGTTAAAACACTGGCTCCAGCTCCCAAACATCCACCTGATAACACTAAGCTCCCTAAAAGCCTTAGCTCTTGAAGCAGAGCTCTAGCTCCCTACCCTAACCTGTATCAAAGCAAGCTTATCGAGGTTTGAACTACAGTCAGATGGCTTGAGCTGGCTCTAAAGCTGCAGAAGGGAAGAGGCTGCTTGTGGGGATGAAAAGGCAATGGTGAGAGTGGTAAGGGGGGAAGCACGTGCCAGGGGCTGCTCTTACTCAGCCTCCCGTAACTGCCCTTACTGAAACGCTAATGCAAACCCCCTTTAAATAGCACCAGGGTTCTCCCAGTGTTACATAATTGGATTTTAACCAAGCCTACAACTGCTTAATTAACTTAAACACATGATCCCCAATCCCCTTGTTCCTCCACTCACTTCCCTGCAGGCTGGGAGCGATGTGAGGGCTGAGGGGTCGGCGGTAAACCCTTCCTGTGCTCCCCAGGCGGTCAGGCTCCGAGGGTGCAGAACCTCTGCATCAGCAAACGCTGGCAAACAGACTTCACTGCGCTGCGTAGCACCAGCGTATCTGAAAAATGTCAGAGTTTGCTGGGCAGCTCTTTGAGCTGTATTTGGGTGCTCAGCCAAAGGTGTCATGAAGTGCTAGAACTAAAAATCACTGCAGGAAGTGCCCAACTAACAGGAAAGTGATTAAAAAGCCTCAATGACCTTATAAATCTCCAAGGAAGCTGTGCAACAACACATGAAGATCTCTGCCTGATGACTAGATAGGAGCTTGTAAACTGGAAGACAGCAACTGGCAGCCAAGGTGTGTTCCTCATCTGATCGAAGCGTTGCTGATCTAAGCGATGATTGCTTAATCACGCACAGCCCTCCCTCTGGAAGCCAGAGGGGACACTGAGTGGGGACATCGGCTGCACCTTCATGTGTGTGCCCATGTGAAGGTCTCCCTGAGCCCAGCTTCCTCCCAGAGTATTTTGTGTGCCTCTGGCTTCTGGAGGGAGCAGCGTGCTCTAAACCCAGTCCAGACGAGGTACTGTGAAACGCTGAAATCTTAGTCTAGTTTGTAGTGGAGCCAGTTTGAAATGCATCTGTTGGACCTGCGCTTCTAACAATCCGTAGATCTGTACAGGCGTGAAACATGCCCAGACGCCGCAGCGTAACGCTCCTCTGCTAACGTGGCCCAAAGCCTGTGTGTGGATTCATTTAAAAGGCAAACAGACCATTTTAAAACTGGCTCGACACTGACCAGAATCTTAATTAGGGCTTAGTTTAACCTAAATTTTAAAATCTTCATTAATAACTAGATTCTAGTTAAACAGTGATTTAAAAAAAATCTCCTCCTCAAATTGGAACCCTCCTGGAATTCGTGTCCAAGTGCACCATAAACCAGCCTCATTGTCTTCTAGGAAAAATGCTCTTTATTTTGGAGTAGCAATAAAAAGAACTCAGACAGTAATAAGGCCAACCAGGCCACTTCTGCCAAAAAGCTGCCTCCGGTTAAGGGGATGGTGTTGCGGGAAGCCAGACTGTAGGTGGGTACCCAGTCAAGGTAACACGCTTTTCTCTCATCCTGATTTGATTAAACTTTGCTTAAAACCAATCAAACGGGAACTTTACTGTCCACATCTACCAGACATGCCCTCTTGGCAAGCTCTGATGTGATGATATTGTCTCGTGGCTTTATTCAGGGCAATTAGATGTCTTAATACTCACACTTAACCAGGCTGCGAGCCCATGCTCTGATTGTTTCTCCTGGTGGACCTGACCTGCAGCCCTGATAATATCAGCAGGGATCAGGGTGAAAAGTAGGGTTGGTGTGAGGAAACACTTTTCTTGCTTGTTTCCCCCCCTCCCAGTGTTTGGGATCCAGAGGTAAGTTTTTTTGAATGGGTAAAAACTCATGGGGGGATCAGAGGTTGTCACCTGGTGGGTGTCACTCCCCTCCTGCATGCAGGGAGCCTTGATGGAAAGGGAATTTGTGATGTATAAAATATCTGGGTTTGTATTACAGGCTCACAAAAAAATCACTGAATCGTTGAGGTTGGAAGGGACCTCTGGAGGTCATCTTGTCCATCCCCCCTGCTCAAGCAGGGTCACCTAGAGCTGGTTGCCCAGGACCGTGTCCACATGGGCAAGGATGGAGATGCCCCAACCCCCTTGGGCAACATGTTACAGTTTTTACAGTTTTCACAGTAAAAAGAACAAGTGTTTCCTAATGTTCCGATGGCACCTCCTGTGTTTAAGTTTGTGCCCACTGGCTCTTGTCCCATCCCTGGACACCACTGCGAAGAGCCTGGCCCTGTATTTACACCCTCCCTTCACATTCTTGTTCACAGCCCATTAGGTATTTATATACATTAATAAGGTTCCTGCTGAGCCTTCTCTTCTCCAGGCTCTCGGTCATGTGAGAGATGCTCCAGTCCCTTGATCATTTCAGTGGCCCTTTGCTGGACTCCTTCCAGTAGGTCCATCTCTCTTCTCCTGGGATGGACCTGGATGAGGTGTGGCCTCATCAGTGATGAGGAGAGGGGAAGGCTCACCTCCCTCAACCTGCTGGAAACACTCACAGTGCAGCCCAGTATGCTACCCAGGCACACTGCTCACTCGTGTTCAGCTCGGTGTCCACCACGACCCTCCAGTCCTTTTCTGACAAGCTGCTGAGGGTGGGGTGTTCCTTAGCATGTACGTGTGGGGTTGTTCTTCCCCAGGTGCAAGACCTCGTGAGGTTCTTGCCAGCCCATTTCTTCAGACCGTTGAGGTCCCTTGGGAGGGCAGCATGACCTGCTGGTGTATCAGGCGCTCATCCCAGTTTTGTGTCATCAGCAAACTCACAGGTCATTAATAATGATGTTAAACAGGACTGGACCCAGGATTGACCCCTGGTGTACATGGCTAGTTACTGGCCTCCAGCTACATGTCATGCCACTTCTCATGACCCTTGGGTCCTGGCTGTTCAGCCAGTTTTCAGTCCACCTCGCTGTCTGCTAATCCAGCCCATACCTCATAGCTTCTCTATGAGGAAGAAGCCTTACTGGGGTCCAGGTAGACAATGTCCACTGCTCTCCCCTCATCTATCAAGCCATTAAATCCATCATAGAAGTTCACCAGGTTGGTCAAGCATGATTTCCCCCTGGTGAAGCCATGCTGATGAATCCTGATGGCTTTCTTGTCCTTCATGTGCCTGGAAGCGGTTCCTAGGATTCGCCACTCAGTCACCTTCCCAGGGACTGAGGGGAGGCTGGCCAGCCTGTAGTTCCCTGGGCACTCCTTGAACTTCAAGACAGGTGTGACACGTGCTCTCCTGCAGTCTTAGGGCACCTCTCCCAGTTGCCGTGGTTGTTCAGGGATGATGAGGGGTGGCGTGGCAATGACATCAGCCAGCTCCGCAGCACTCGTGGGTGCATCCTGTCAGGGTCCCTGGGTTTATGTACATCTACTTAGCTTAGGTATTGTCTGACCTCATCCTTTTCCACCCAGGGTACAACTTCCTTGTTCCAGACTTTCACTGGGTTTCTGGGTTCCCTTTTGTCACCTGTCTTCTTATAGAAGCCCTTCTTGTTGTCTCTGACATCCCTGGCCAGATTCAATTCCAGCTGGGCTCTGGCTTCCCTAACTTCATCCCTGCATGCTGGGGTCTGGGGGTCTTCAAGCCGTTGTGTCCTTGATAAGATCCTGTCCATCTCCCTTTCATCTTCTCTGAAGCCGTGCAGCCTGCTGACTTGTCCTCTAACTCCTCTACCTGGTGACACAGCTCTTCAGACAGGGTGTTCGGGTGGTGTTACGAGTGTCAGTGGGCAGGAATGGAAATAACTTCTTTTTGTCGGAGGAGGAGATGCAAAAATCTTCAATTTAAGCAGTCTTCAGAAGAGGGTTCTTGGCCATGTTAAAGTCCCAAGAGTTTTGGGGCACGCACGTCCCAAGTGGGGACACAGTACCGCTGGTGCCACCGCTGAGCGCGT